CAAACTCTCTGCAAAGGATACATGATGCAAACAATCTTTCTCCTGCAGGAGAATAATTTAAAACCACTCCAGGCATAGTTGAACCCCCTGGGAATTAGGAAGCTTTGTGTCGGCAAACAGAAGGTTAGGTAACAAGAAAGATGATTCATTCTGTCATCTTCTGCTAATTTTATTTAAAAAAAATGTGATATGAAAATCACCCTTTACCCAATAGCTTTGGAATTGTTTACAGAAAAATGGGAATATGCCGACAGCTGTAAGTCAGACGTTGCCCTTGCTTTTAAACCGTTGCACATCTGTGAACATACGTGTCAGATTTTACTAGTGTCATGCTCAAGTTTCAAGGGGCAAGCTGATGACGTGGATTCAGACCAGTATATCCCATCGCCTCCCAGTAGCCAGGCAGATTTATGTAGAAGGCCAGTCCCTCCACAGTCTTCCACCCGACGCCTTCTCGACTGAAAGGGAGTGGTGTATGCTAAGCACAAACTCAGATTATGAGCAGTCTTTTTAAGGCGAATATGAGCTTGAGCAATATGGCCTGCAGCCTTATAGATTTAAGAGTTGCCAATTTTATTAATAATTCTTCAGTCAGTGCTAGCCAAGCAGGAAGCACTGTAAGGACGTTATGCACTTTTGAACTTGGCTGGTTGTAACCTGCTTTGATAATATTTCAGATTTTCTACGGCCGTATCTTGCTTTGCAGATATGCCCGTTGGCACTGTAAGCTATGTGTATCTGCGTCAAATATTGCAATAGATGTTTGCTTAAAGTACCGCGCCGTAAACATGTTTGACTGTCAGGTGCCCCAATGACGGATGTATATAAATGAGACCAAGCTTAATTCTAAAATGAGTCCTGCTTCACTGTTCTCTGAATCCTGCTCCACTTGAAAAGGATTGCATATTTGAATACAAGTTGCAACTGAAGTCTGTTTTTGCAGGTTTCAGATATCCGTATTGTCAAAACTTGCACTGTTTTCTTTTTTGCTCGGGGCAAGACTAGACCTCCTGCCACGATGAACTAGTTTGGTGAGCTTAGTGTTAACCAAAGTCGCGTTGGCTCGCGGAGTTTGCATTCCAGGAGGACGTGGAACACGCCCGGCCATCATGTTCTCATGCATGAAAAATGACTTAAAAGCAATGTAAAAGGCATTCACTTTAAGAAAAACGCACGTAACTTCTTGAAGAGATGTCTTGTGAAGCTCCTTAGCTCTTTTCAAGTAGGATGGATACTATTTTTTATGTGCTAAACAGTAGCAAAATGTTGGATAAAACAGGACTTAAAGTTCAGGAGAGTATCCTCAAGCACAGTCTGTGCTATTGAGCATTATATTACGCTGCTAAAAATTAGTAAGGTCCTAAAATGATTAGTATCTGGCTAGTGGCCCAGAAAAAAAGAAAAGCTGGGTTTGGCAGCATTTGGAAGTAATTTTTTGTAAGACAAGTGTCCTTAGCTCCTTTATTATCCGATTGATTGATTCGTTGACAATAGAACTTCTGTTTACAGTGCTGATCCTTATGGCTGTTTCAACAGGAAAAGAAATCATTCTTGGAGGCGATCTAGTCCATAGCTGGTGAAAGCATTATCTGTGACAGGCCGGATCTTCTCTGACTAGTTTTGGGTAAGGAGTTTTCGGTCCACGTCATAGCACCGTTCTAAAGCACTTCATGATTTTGATTTGAGAACAGCGGCAGAGTCTCCCAATGCCAGAAGAAGCGTGATTGCCCCCGAAAGCTTGCAAAGAACTTTTTTTCCAACTATGTAGTTGGTCTAATAAAAGAGATCGCATCTACCCAAAGAACCGTGCCTGCCTTTGATTTCCCCAGACCTTCAGAGCAGGCCGTCTCGGCAGACTCTCGAGTCAGGAAGGCCTCGTGCCTTGCATGCGTGACGAGTGTCAGGATTTCTGGAGGTGGCACCATTCGCTCCTGACTAGTGCTATGCTGCTGCTTAGCAAAGAACTGTTCACATTAACGTTTTTATGCATCTGAATAAAAGTGATGGTATAACTTATGCTCTGTTTGCAGTGGTATGTCTGCAGTAACTCGACTGCCTTCCCTGGATCGACATCTAATGCATCAGAGGGAGGATTTGGCCTCGTCTTACTGTTGCCTGCTTTCCCAGCTCGCCAAGCTGGCTTCTGGGCTTTTGCTGTATTGTTCAAACTTCTCATTCTCATGTAAGATGTTGCACACCTGCCTGCCTCTGATCTCACTGCCTTCCCTGCCTCCAGCACTCCACTTTCTCTAGCTTTGTTGCTCCTGCTTTCTACCTGTTTTCAGACTGCTTCTGCACCCGGGGTGACATCTCTTCTCCTGAACACAGAGTCCTCCTTCCTTCAGATCTCCCCCTCTCAAACCCGGTTCTTTAGCTTTGAATTTTTGTTCTCCCTGACTTTCTTCTTGTGTTGCAGACTTTCTCTCCTCGTGCTTCCTCCTCATCTCTCCTTAGAGATACAAGATGTATTGCACTATAGATCCACAGAAAAATAAGGCTCTGCGGGATTGTGGGAGGTGATCTAGTCTAGTCCCTGCTAGGATCAACCCTATCTAAACCAGCCCAGCCTAGCCTTGCTCTTGAATGTCCGATGAAGAACATGTCATAACCTGTTGAGAGAGACTAAATAATGTTTTCTTACATAGCGGTCCTTGTCTTAAACATAGTCTCTCTTTTCCCCTACCACCTGAACTTGGCTCTCTTCTTATAGATTTCATAGACGTCAGGGCTGGAAGGGACCTTGAAGATCATCAGCTCCAGCCCCCTGCCCAAAGGCAGGAAGGCAGCTGGGGTCAAAGGATCCCAGCAAGATAAACATCCAAACGTTTCTTGAATGAGTCCAGAGTAGGTGCCTGCACCGCTTCTGGAGGGAGCCTATTCCAGGTCTTGGGGGCTCGAACAATGAAGAAATGTTTTCTTATCTCCAGCCTAAAACTGTCTTGGGAGGAGTTTATGACT